CTCGAGACTGGTAATAATTTCCTCCGTGTTTTTATTGTCACTAATAACTGCTAATTGCACTTTCTTTACGAGACGCACATCCGCACGGCTTCCTCAACCTGTCACACAAAAAAATCTCTCCGAAAATTTCGTGCCCTTAACTATACTTCCTAGTTACTTATTCATCATCTATATTATATATATTATATCTTTATTATACAGCTACAAGCAAAATCTTGGAAGCACTATTTCTGACGAACTGCCTGACCGATAAAGATGATCTTTACAAGCATGTCATCTGTAGTAGATGTAGATGTGCAAAAAATTATGAAACCCCGAACTTTTAATGTTGTAGAGCTTTTAAAGCTCATGTCACTTAAGTCCAATGTTAATAGCGTGAGAGATATGACGTTTCCGCTAGAAACGTCAAGGTGTGGGATTCTACCTGAGTGACTCGAATAAACAATAAAACAATGGAAAAGCTCGTGAAGGGCTCCTCATTCGAAGAGTTGAGGAACGGTGAATAGCTCAGGGCTCAAGGTTCAAGGTCCAAGGTATAAGGTTTAACTCACTTTTTCCTGCATTCCATCCAGCTATTCCTCATCATTTACAAATCTGAGTGTTACGTCAAAAATTTTGAAATCGATGCAGCTCGAACACAAAATCTTTATTATACAGCTACAAGCAAAATCTTGGAAGCACTATTTCTGACGAACTGCCTGACCGATAAAGATGATCTTTACAAGCATGTCATCTGTAGTAGATGTAGATGTGCAAAAAATTATGAAACCCCGAACTTTTAATGTTGTAGAGCTTTTAAAGCTCATGTCACTTAAGTCCAATGTTAATAGCGTGAGAGATATGACGTTTCCGCTAGAAACGTCAGGGTGTGGGATTCTACCTGAGTGACTCGAATAAACAATAAAACAATGGAAAAGCTCGTGAAGGGCTCCTTATTCGAAGAGTTGAGGAACGGTGAATAGCTCAGGGCTCAAGGTTCAAGGTCCAAGGTATAAGGTTTAACTCACTTTTTCCTGCATTCCATCCAGCTATTCCTCATCATTTACAAATCTGAGTGTTACGTCAAAAATTTTGAAATCGATGCAGCTCGAACACAAAATGGTGTATTAAAATGGAAGAACATTTTTGCCTATACGTATGCGTATAGGGCCCTTGAAGCGGGCCTGAGGGCGCGGGGCGCCCTCCCGGGGGTTGGGCCGCTTAGCGGTCAGGGGGCAGGGCCCCATAGTTTACCTATACACATCACCGTGCGTAAAGATTGAGTTAAGTCGGACCAAAACATATATTTTCAAATCACATATCGAAAAAGAAGACTATCTATCCGAGTCCGTGGAAATTTTTTTAGTCAGTTATTTTAATTTACGACGATCAGCAACCAGGCTATTCACGTCGGGGACCAGGAAACCTTAAATTTTTAAATTTAATCGCTTGAAAAGTTTTCAAATTTCGGTGACTACTTTTGGATCATCTGAGCTTGAAGGATGGATGTTATGAGGGAGGGAATTTTGCATTTTGATGCGTGTAGCATAGGTTTTTGGGCAAGAAAGCAAAATATGGTCGATTGTAAGGGGGAATGTTGTCATAGAGAGCAGAATGGAACTGGAGATTTTGAAATTAAATGAGAATGTGAGAAAAAAGTATGGCCGATTGCATGAAGGCTTTTTCCATTTAAATCTTCCGTCACATTTATACGGCGTAATGATACAACTATTTGAACTCTCCGGAGTGCGTGAGGTATCACGCCGCATTTGAAGGCATTTTCAAAAGAGCTTAGTTCCGATACCCGGATTATCGTTTTGCATAGTTCGTATTCTTCTGTTATATTCCGTACCACTCGTTTATTTTGAATCCTCGTAGAAAAACCACCCATTTGCTAAATACAATTCTAGCTGGAGCGCCCTTCAGCTATATATTCACCTATGCAAAAATTTCAGAGGAAATCGACACGCCCAGCGTGCATGGAGGCTATTTCCATTTAAATCTTCCGTCACATTCTAACGGCGCAATGATACAACTATTTGAACTCTCCGGAATGCCTGAGGTATCACGCCGCATTTTGAAGGCGTTTTCAAAACAGCCAAGTTCCGTTTTCGGAATAATCGTTTTGCGTAGTTCATATTATTGTGTTTCCATTTCTAACCACTTGTTAAATTATAATCCTCCTATAAAAACCACCCATTTGCTAAGTACAATTCTAGCTGAAGCGCACTTCAGCTATGCATTCATTACTGCAAAAATTTCAGAGGAAATCGACATGCCCAGCGTGCATGGAGGCTATCTCCAATTAAATTGCATGTAAACTCCATGCAATAATTCGCAAGTATTTTGTGCTGAAAGTAGAAAAAAAACCGTAATTATTCCGCAGAAATTGATGGAAAAATTCTTTATGGAAGCTTCAAAATGCGTCCGATTAGTCGTATAAATTCTAAAATTTCTCGGGGGATGCCCTTCGGACTCCCCCCCCCTCCCTCCGTGTTTGGGGCCCGGACCTTAAAACTGGTACCTGGGCCCGAGATGGGATGTGGCGGGCCTGGCCGACTCCAACTCCACTCGAGCCTGGCCGACTCTTCCAATTTGGACTTAGCAGGTGCGGTGTTTGTTGAAATTTTTTACGTTTCTTGTATATATTTTTTCGCATTTAATTTTATTTTCTACGATTTACTACTGCATTTCATCAATTCATTGTTTTATTCAAATGTGTGCTTTTGAAGTTTTCAACAAAGTAGTGGTTCTAATTCGATGTCGTTGCGGTTTCCACGGTCTTTTTTTTAACAAAAAAAAATCCGGAGGCCTCGTTATTATTTTACAACAAAACTAGGGGGTATACGTCCCATTTCGTCCCATGCCTGCTACGGAATATTACGAAAGAATAAAAGTTCGTGCCGTTTGTTTTCTGGATTTCAAAGGCTACGGCTCTGAGACTATTGTTTATAACCTACACGTGGCGTTTTATCTCATCGGATATTGGTGCTTTTAAAATGTCACCTGTAGGTTGACATCCAACTTTGTGATGCACTCCGCTACTTGAGTATTATTTCCATCTTTTTGGGCGCTTCTGGGTACCAGATGCGCCCTTTCCAACCGTTCGACTCCCCCGATGTAACATGTACTATACTACATACCGTTTTGCCTTATGGGTAATGACGCCATTCTGGTACACCCGGGAAAATTTGATTTTTTTCTGCATCTGGTATTCGTAAAAGTTTTCGTGAAATGTTTTGCTTTTAAGCATAACAATCTCGCACGGACGTATTACCTGGTTAAACTATTTTGGGGCTTCGTTATGCTTAAATGCCTCATATTCGAGGTTGTAATAGCCCTCCAACGCTTTGGCGTTGGAACTGCTTGTTTCAATTTTTCAGCGGCATGACAAAGCACCGGCAAAACGTGTCCTGGTATTTTTAGTACTCTTGCAAGTCTCAACCGTACTGAATACATGCACTGAAAAAAATTCTCGGCGTTTTTACCAAGGTTCGTTGGTACCTTTACCACCTCACTTTTTTTACCAATTATTGGTAATTTTACCAAGACAGACTGGTAATCTTACCTAAAAACCGGTATTTTTACTGTTTTTTTAGGTAAGAATACCACTTTTATTGGTAATCAATTCCCGGTAACTTTGCCATTTTATCTCGGTAATTCTACCACAGTCGATAAAAAATATTGGCGCTTTTACCAAGATCCAGTAAAATTATCGAGAAAGTTCAATTATTTTACCGAGATGCTCGGTAAAATTACCAATTCCATAAATTGTAATTTTACCAAGAAAAAACTGGGATCAAATAGAACCCTGAATTCTTGGTAATTTTACCCTTTTCTTAGTAAATACACCGAGATTTTGTTTTCAGTGTGTATCGTTTATTTTCTGTTTCAAATCTTTCATGACACTCACAGCGCTGAAACACACCATTAATCGAACTGTCTTTTTGAAGGGGACTCTGTGCTGAGAGGAACTCATACATTGCATAATATACCTTTATATGACTTCAACTTTCTCAAATCGAGTGATTTCTAGACTTTTTGAAATTTACGATCCACACAGTTTCTTTTACAGCTTCAGGCTTATAATTGATTTCGTTTTCATAATTTTTTCTTTGAGTGCTGCCCGTCATATCATGCCCTTCTACAAGCAACAGCACCTCAGTCGCTACAAAAACTTTAAACTGCGAGCTATATTCAAATTGAATAATTGAAAAAATTGGGAATTATATCACCGAAAATGTCCCGAAAATTATTGCCATTTGGACCGAGTTCGTCAGAAAGGAACCAACCCACATTAAGTTGAAACTGAGAAAAAGAGGTTTGAAGTTTTATTTCTGCACAAGGTTCAATGTAGAAAATAAACTTTAATCCCTCTGTTCACAAACTAATTTCTATTTCTCGACATCCAGTTTTTGGCAGGAGAAAATATACGGCTAGTTGAATTCGAAAACATTCTTTACTCATTTTTTTCGTAATTGTGGGTTGGTTTCTTTCTGATAAACTTGATCCATTTAAGGTTTCACGTTGAAAAAAAAATCAGTCTCAAGAGAAGAATACATAAAGTTGTAAGCTGTTAATGAGGAATTGAGGATACGAGCACAAAAGAGTGATGATTTCAACATTTTCAACTATATTTCCGGCTGATTCTGGCGCCAGCTAGAGGTGACTTTGCACCAGTAAGAAGCATGGTTGATTCAACCACATCTATGGCTGGGGCCATACCTATACTTCTGGCTCTAAAGTACTCTTTTAGCTAGCGCCAAGATCACTAGGATGAAATTATCATACTTTCTTCCCGTGATATTGTCACATTTTTAATGCATTATCATGCCCTGGATTGGCACGAAAATTGTTCGAAAACTTCCGCAATTTAATCTCTAGGAACCAAGAGAAGGTTTTCTACTGAGCCCTTAAAACACAATTGCCTCCTCTTACTAAATAGCGTATTTTAAAGTATCTTTCCTGATGTTAACGATCACACGCATTTATTCTAAAATATTGGGTTTATTATGATAGTCAGTTTCTACAACTTAGGAAATAGCTTATTTATTACGGCACAAAATGTTAGTCAGTTTATTTTTGACAGCTCCAATTTTGAAGAAATTTTGAAATATCTTCGCTCATTGATTTTAGTTCTTGGCACCTATGAAATCTCTAAATTCTCTACATTGCTGGGCAAATCCACGCACTCTTTCTGCACACTTCTTCAATGGCACATGTGTGAATGTAGTTGCAGTGGTTCCATCTTCCTTCGGCATCGGCACATAAACGACGCAGTTGTAATCGGTATATCTACAGAGAGCCTTTCTAGCATTCGGACACCTGAAAACATATGGTCGTAAGCAGTATATATTCATGTGAAAAGATACAAGGAAGAGCCCTTATTACACCCTCTCCGCCCCTTACACACCACCTCTCCCCACCAGTTGAACCGGTAAAAACACCCCTCGCAAGCTAAACTGAAGCATCAGATGAGACTTTTTGGACGGCTTTTACCGAGACCATCCTACCTGCATCTCACATTGCCTACTACTTTTTTCTCACTTCAGAGGCGGATCCAGCAATTTGGCAGCACCGGATTTCCTCCATTTAAAGCTATGCTAAATAATCGATTCTTGTCGGAGCATCTGGCCCCACCAAGAATCGATCATTACCATAAGTTTAAATGGAGAAAAACAATGTTGCCGATTTGCTGGATCCGCCAATACTCACGTCTACAGTTTCCTAGCAGAATAAAATAACAACTTAATTTGGGGAAAAGGCTGCAAAAAAAAAAAGAAAAAAAAAGACAAAGGATAAACGAAAAACTCGGAACATTTCAGAATATTAACACTTCCATTTTGCGGTTGAAAATGGAAGTGTTAATATTCTGACACGTTCCGGGTTTTTGTTTATCCTTTTTTTTTGCAACCTTCTCCCCAAATTAAGTTGTTATTATATTATCTGAATTTTGGCTGATTATCTAAGTTGTTTTTCATTCTTAACAGAAATTTTGACTAATTAACTTTCTGCGAGTTAACTTTGGATTATGAAGAATGTAATCTCATAATTTCAAGTTTCAGTGTTTTTCAGTTTTCTTTTTAAAAAAAAGAAAGAAAAAGAAAAAAAATTAGACTATGTTTGATGTAGTTAGGTTGACTGATTAAATGCGTCAAATTTCAAGTTATTCTACATTCTTAAAATGTATGCCAAGGCGTCGCTTTTTAAATCGATCATTGGACACAGTCCAAGTGCAAACTTAACACTAAGCATTGATCTTTGCATTTTTCAACAATTTAAACCTCAGCAAAAATTAACGATTCTCTTGATAGACAAAATTCTGAATATATCTCTTGAATTAAAAGTCTGCAAACATTACGTATTCGGTTATGCATCAATGTGTCGAATAAGTCTCTGCGATTCGAAGGTCGCAGAACTTCGACTGTACAAAAAATGTCTTCGTGTTTTCGGGAATGAGCGGAGTTAAAAATGTAAGTTAGTTTGATACTAGTCTCGAATGCTTTACGCAGGCATCGTTTTTTCGTAGAAGCACTTTTACCACCCGTAACTTCGATCACACTTTCCGACGTTCATGTTTTTTTCTGTGCAGAAATTTAATGAGTAATCACGCACACACCGTGGTACTGTATCATTGGTACAGGCACCGGCCATTTTCTTCTTCTTTCATTCACGCTTTTTCGTGGAGGGATCAAATTTCCCACTTGCGTTTAAACTTACATACAGATAAAACCAATGTATTAAAAATTGATAATCGATGTAAGTAACAGGTCTTAGTTCAAGCAAGTATAAAAAGTTCATCGACAACTTGGAGTGTAGTGTTATGGCGGACAAGATGGTCGGGCCGCAGAGTTCATAAATGTGCATCGAGCGTCCTCTCTTATTATAATAATTTGTTTCTCCACGATTCCATAGTCCCATAAAATTTAAGCACATTTTAAACGCTGCACTGCGGTTAATTCATGAATTTTTTGAAAGGTCGATTCGCTGAATTAGACTTTCAATAATGGAGCATTAAGTTAGATTCAAAGTTCAGTCTATGATGCTTACAGAGACTTTTCATCATCATTGAGAGCGTTGAAATTATTCAATGCTGCTTGACATCTATGATCGCCCAATTGGCTCCATGCAACTTGACAAGAGCCACCGCACTGACTTCCCCTCAAAAACGTGAACAATTCAGTCCGATATCCTTCTCGAACATCTATCTGTCAATCAAAATCATGCGCTGTTGTTTAAACTGTTCTCCAAAAATAATTAATCAGAATAAGAACATCTGAAAGAAATAAGTCTGTTGGAAGCAAACTTCTGCTAGATTAAATAAGAATAGTGAGTGTGACTTTAAAAAAATGGCTCAAAAATCACGATGGACGCAAATAAAAAATCTAGAATTTTTCGATACGTGTAGTCTATGCATTTTATTTGTGGCTCATAAATTGGAAAGTGACCCTTAAATATTGTCAATAGTCTACCACGTTCCTATAAAAATTGTATCTTGGAAGTTGAATCCCGGGGAAATATATTGAGATAGCAAAAAAAAACAAAAAAACAAAATCAAACATGAAAGGGGGAAAACCTATTGTGATTTTTTAATTGTGCGCTGAAAGTGACATCGAATACAATGAGAGATCTAGAGCATGCATTAATTTTCGAGTGATTTTGCACAATGAGATTTTCCACCCGTAAAAGTCTAAAGGCCCGTCTACATCTCCGAAAATGGAAAAAATTACAAACCTTGTCTTAAGGCGTTCGGTTTTGTACAGATTGGAACGTTTTGGTTGCCTTTTTACTTTTGAAATTTACCAATTCAAATTGAAAAATGAGCCATAACCTAAGATACCTACAATTATTACATTCTATCAAGTGTAAAAACTTCACAAAACAAATCGAATCCTACCAAAACCTATCCATATAATTGACTGTGAATTTGGCGTGTCTCGATTACAGCGTGAGCTCTAGAAAGCATGGATTTATATGTGAAACAGGGTTCACGTAGAAATCGAGACACGCCCCAAAGTCAGAGGAGCGACGATAATAGTCTTCTTTAGCAAGTTAAACTTTCGAGCTCATACCTTTACAGTCAGCGGAGCAGTTACAATTCCAAAAAAACTGGGGGCCAGAAAAAAAGAAAATACAACACACGATAAAGTGAGGACCATGATGGGCAGAATATGTTCAACACAGACTCCGAACTTTAATGTACCGTATATGTGTCAGACGACGACGGCTTCATGCAAGATGTAAGGGTTGTGGAAAATTTCAATGTAAAAAACTCGCGTTGGATGATTATGAACATTGACAGCGCATGACAACGCTTGAACGAAAAGCACTAAAACATCAACGCGCTTCTGTGTGCATAGTAACTATTTTTAACGAAGAGCTTTTTTTGCTTCCATTTTTCCCTCTTTTTTTCTTTTTGACTCATGAAGTTTGCATTCAAAACCCTCAAGGCAGATAGAGTTTTTGACCCAATTTAGTTAGCTTTTTCATTTGTATCAGGATTCATATGTAATGTTAAAATGTTACTTACCTTTCTGTTTTCTGATCTCCTGGTAAAAAAAAACAAACAAGTTGGATTTTGCAATCGCTAGCGATAGCAATATTCGTCATGGGAACGTTAGCTTCTGGGATATGAAAATGTTAAGGTACAGTTCGTTTGTAGTATCTTCAGAATTGAAGGGGCTATGTAATTTTGTGTTGACATCTCTTTTTTAACATTTTTAATTATTTTCTTTGCATAAAAGAAAGCTGTTATGTACCAATTATTTATTTTCGTTGGATTATTTATGGTTTTCGGAAGTTAACGCATTTAAGTTTCAGGTTCGCTTTTTCGGCGTAAAGTATACATAAGGTGTCCCAAAAGCACCGGGACTTGTTCTGTAACTTCGAAAGTAAGATAGATACAGACATGATCTTGATCTCATTTTAAAGAGCAACTCAATACCCATCGATTAAAACCAAGATCAGCTCAATCGGATAAAAATTGACCGAGTTATGGCAATTTGAAATCAGCGAGGAAAGTTTACGCCTACGGTTTTTAAGGAAGATTCTTCATCGCCGTAAATCGAAAAGTCGGCCGATAAAGTGATGCTTATTGTGTTTTTTTATTTTCGAGGTGTCATTTATCAACATTTTGTACCATCAAACACAACAGTTGACAGTGCGTATTATTGCAAAGTGCTAAAGGAGTTGAGAATGCACCTTTCCCGGAAACGGTTGGACTTGAAAGCTTCGTGGATACTCCATCAAGACAATGCGCGGCCTCACACATCGAGCTTAACACGTGAAATCATGAGTAAAAATGGAGTTGAAACAATCCCTCATCCCCCTTATAGCGCTGACTTGGCTCCATGTGATTTTTGGATGTTTCCCACGCTTAAAAAGGAGCTTCGTGGACGAAGATTCGTATCGAAGACCGAAATCCAGAATGCAATTCAAAACTTCTTCAACTCCATCCCAGAGGAAGAATTCAGGAAAACAATGTTGGATAAGTGGCAAGAGCGCATGAAAAAGTGCATCCGGTTTTATGGACGGTACTTTGAAAAGATTCGAACCCCCGCTCGCACAAAAAATGACAACCTCCCATAGTCAAAATGGTATCTCTGCTGACTGAGCCATCCCGCCGTTCGGGGGCGACGTGAGAAAAGAGAACAGTTAAGTGATCTCGGACGCTGAGCGGGGCTTCACAAAAGACGACCTTGAGATTTCGGCAGTTCGGCCACTGGCGTGGTAAAAGACAACGGATTAAGCGCATTACTCTGTGAGACATTGTTTACCTATGCTGTCATATGTCACAAGGTTCATCTCAGCATGCATTTGCGATCGCGGCAGTAAGCTGAGGCAATATTTCTGTATTCATGGATTAAATCCATCAATCGAGTTCTGATTTTGGCTCATATATCCGTAACGGGTCCTCTAGAGCAATTTTCCACCTTGTACGATGGTTATTTTTTCTTTATATCTATGTTTAAAATTTGAGGTGGGATAATGGCGGCTTCTCAAGAGCAACGAGGTAGGCGATCTTTTACACCAACGAACAGAAAACTGATGGCGAAAAATAACCAATCGGAACCTCCCAAAAAAAAGAATTTGCCTAAAATCGGAACTTCGTGGTTCTGCGCAGATTTGGACGGAGTTAAACAGAACGGAACCAAGCCACATCGGGATCAAACCGAGAAAAAGAGGTTTAAAGTTTGGCTCTTGCATAAGACGCAATGTAAAAGATAAACTTCAAGTTCAATTTCTGCAAAATTTGCTCCAACAAAAACGTTGAATTTTTGGAAGTTCAAAACCACTCATAACTCAATTTTTTCCAAAATGTGGGTTGGTTCCTTTCTGTTTAACTCAGTCCATTTACCAGTCAGACACGACATCTCAAGGTGGAAAAAAACTCGCTGAAAGCGAAGAGCTTGATGCAAAACGGCTTTTTTCGCCCCCCTCTGGAATTTCTTCAGACTTTGTCTATTGATTGCTCATACTTGAGCGCTTCTTTGCCCAAATTTTCAGACCCCCAAAAAATTTTGGGGGGGGGGAGCTAGGGGGGGTGGAAGTCAAAACCTGTGAACCTCAATATCTCTCGAACGAAGAAAGATATCGAGGTCCGTTTTGGACGAAAAATCGTCTAAAATTGCATACTTTAAGATTCTAAAGGTCGAAATCCCGATATCGCATTTTTAAGTCAACATATGTGCTTTTTTCCAGTTTTTAGGTCTAGATAATTTCTTTTAAACGAAAAATTTACAAAGATCTCAATTTTTTATTTGAACCAAAACCAGTTTTTTAAATTGTTCGTTTTTTTCCGCATCCAACGAGTGGTCCATTAAGCTGGAGAACCGAACGGTTCCGGAGTTATGATCGATTGAAGTTTCCGCTCAACGCGCGCCGACCGATTTTCGCGCGCAAAAAAGTCGGAATTGACTGTTATTAAATCAGATTGACAGTTAAAACTGAGCGAAATGCATTATTAGGGACTCTTGAGGGTCGCTGAGTTCAGAAATTACAGATACTTCCAAAAAATTCACGTTTTTAAAATTACAGCTCCGTACAGGACCACTGAGCGGCCGGTCAGCGCTCAGTGGGCCTCTAAAATAGCGCTACAGAGCTGTAATTTTAAAAACGTGAACTTTTTGGAAGTATCTGTAATTTCTGAACTCAGCGACCCTCTAGAGTCCCTAATAATGCATTTTGCTCAATTTTAACTGTCAATCTGATTTAATAACAGTCAATTCCGACTTTTTTGCGCGCGAAAATCGGTCGGCGCGCGTTGAGCGGAAACTTCAATCGATCATAACTCCGGAACCGTTCGGTTCCCCAGCTTAATGGACCACTCGTTGGATGCGGAAAAAAACGAACAATTTAAAAAACTGGTTTTGGTTCAAATAAAAAATTGAGATCTTTGTAAATTTTTCGTTTAAAAGAAATTATCTAGACCTAAAAACTGGAAAAAAGCACATATGTTGACTTAAAAATGCGATATCGGGATTTCGACCTTTAGAATCTTAAAGTATGCAATTTTAGACGATTTTTCGTCCAAAACGGACCTCGATATCTTTCTTCGTTCGAGAGATATTGAGGTTCACAGGTTTTGACTTCCACCCCCCCTAACTCCCCCCCCAAAATTTTTTGGGGGTCTGAAAATTTGGGAAAAGAAGCGCTCAAGTATGAGCAATCAATAGACAAAGTCTGAAGAAATTCCAGAGGGGGGCGAAAAAAGCCGTTTTTGCATCAAGCTCTTTAGAAATCAACACAACTTGACGTAGAGACATGATTGGCTAAAAAATACAACGGTTTTTGATACATCGGAAAATCAACCAAAAATCGAAGACTGGACGAAACGCTCAAGGTCGCAGAGGCATAGGGAATCCCATAGCGATAGCAACGGAACGATTGTAATATCATGGGGAACTCCGTTCCCCATGATAAAACAAAAAACAAAAAAAACTTGGAGATCAGAAAACAGGGAAGGCAATATTTTGAAAGAATTATTGCAGACCCTGATTTAGGAAACAAGTAAAAATGACCCGGTGCTTCATTTTTGGCACCCAAAATTGCGGGTAGCCGACAAACCCTCACCCCTCACCCCGACCTTTCATCTTGGTAGGTACGAGGGGCATTCATAAAGTAAGTTAATATTTGTCATACCTTTTTAATTATTGAAGATAATTTAAATCTGTAAAAAACGTTTGACTTGTCATACTTTTAGTTTTCTAAAAAGCTTCAGGGTTTTTTTTTTATTTTTAAAGGCTCTCTGAGTGCCGAGTAACATCAGTTTACACCCGCATCTCGCCACGACGCGACGTGTCCAAAATTTACGAACGTCGCGGGGTGCTCAATGAGTGTTACCTATTGATTTCTCAGAAAGAGGCACAACTATTGATGCTGACAGAAACTGTGATGTCATGAAAAGGCTTAAATTAGCAATCAAAAGAAAAAACCCTGGCCTTTTGTTCCGTCAAGTGTTGTTGTTTCATGACAACGCTACAGGCCCAATTCAGCTCATGTGACCAACTAGTTATTGACCTCTTTAAATGGGACCTTTCCCCACATCCTTCTCATTTTCAAGATCTCGCCCTAAGTGATTTTACTACTTATTTCCCGGGATAAAGAAGGGTTATGGCGAATAAAGTTCCACGGACGACGATGAAGTGAAAGATGCTGTATGAAAGTGTTTGCGTCAACAGAATCGACAGTTTTTTGATAGAATCAAAAGGCTCGTGTCACGGTACACAAAATGTGTTCAACGAGATAGGAATTGCGAAGAAAAGTAATGTAAGGTCTTCTCAAACATACATATTTTCAATTTTGAGCAAAAAATCGCTTTTCGACAATTTGCAGGACGAAGCCGCATGCTACAGTCCTGCGACCTTCCCAGCGCGCGTAAATTTTGGACACGCGGTGGCGAGAGATGGGTGTATAGGAAAACTGATGTTAGGCACTCAAAAAGCCAAATTTAAAAAAAAAAAAAACTGAATTTTCTTAGAAAGCCGAGAGTGTGACAAGTTAAATGTTTTTTTTACAGTTTTAAATTATCTTCATTACTTTAGCAGGTATGACAAATATGAACTTACTTTACGAATTCCCCTCGTAGTTCAATTATCTGAAACGTTACCGAGTGGTGCAGGAATTTAGGATCACACTCTAGGCTGTGTTACTATATCAATAAATATTTCAAAATATACAGCAGATCACGAACAATATATAATATCACCATAATAATTACACCTGCGACACTGTATTCAAAAATTTGCATATAATCATGGACTTGATTTAATCAGAAAGGCTAAAAATTGTAATCCTGGAAATAATATTTCAGCTAGTTGTTTATGAGTTTTTCTCGTGGTCAATACGCCCCATGCCCCTAGGCGTCCTATACGTAAATGTGTGCAAAAAAGGCAGAAAACACTTCAACTGGCGGCTTGTCACGTGATCCCTATCGATCGTCAAACTAGCGATTCTTGGAACCCATGTTTGATCGCGCTCTTTTGGGGGATTCTGAAGTCCTTCGGCGTCAAAATTTGAGATTTATTATCACAAGCACAACTTATGGAACAATAACTTTCTCGTCCAAATTTGTCGAGTTGCGATCCATTTTTGTCTGAGATTCGCCTTGGGTGGCTTTATCGCTTAAATCGGTCGTTATTCCGAATTTAGAGCCATCTGCTGGCTGAAAATGAGTTTCTTTTTAAAAAAAAAAATTGCATGTCCTATGAGCATGATTAAATAGGGATTGATACCCTTGATACCTGCTGAACTTTTTGAGAGGGAGAGACAACTAGAACGTGGAGTGTACAAATATGTCACCATTTTAAATTTCGGGCTCTATGTTGAGGACGTAAGTGAATGTCAAATTGGTGATTTTCCTCACATGATTTGCCCTTCTCTGGCTCATTTTGGATGTATGAGTCCTTCAGAATGGTGTATTCGCAAGGCCTCAAAAATCTCTAGGACAAAAAGAAGCCTTAAATAACGCGGATTAATTTTTTTAATCCAATAGGATTTTTATTCTCGAAAATGGTGTTTTGCTACAGATAATTGTCACTCTCTGCAGCTTTAATCGTTTGAAATATTTCACGCAAACGTATACGGTCTTGGTTCTATTGCAATTTTGTCGTAAAAAATTGTGGTCCAAATTTAGACCTAGATGGTATCTAGGTTTTTTGAAATTCAAAGGTAAAAATTGCAATATCATCTAGACATTGACGGGCAGAACCATTGAAATTGAATGAAAATCACCCAAATTTCGGCAAGAATATTTGTCCGCTAACAACGAGTGTTTCACCGCCCAATTCCGGTAACACCCCCACCCCCCCTGCACCTTTCTCTTATATCAGAGGGATTTTACTTCACTCCTCCGCACCTAGACCATAGTGAGCTTGAAATACCAGAATCCCAACTGAAGTTTACGGCAGGATAATCGGCCATAAAGTTCGCCCGCACAAAGACCCTTAAGCAATTTTGTTGTAAAAAATTGTGGTCCAAATTTAGACCTAGATGGTATCTAGGTAGTTTGAAATTCAACAATAAAAATTGCAATATCATCTAGACATTGACGGGACCATTGAAATTGAGTGAAAATCACCCAAATTTCGGCAGAAATATTTGTCCGCTAACAACGAGTTTCACCGCCTAATAATTCCGGTAACACGCCCCCCTCTTTTATCAGAGGGATTTTACTTCACTCCTCCGCACATAGACCTGCGAGCTTGAAATACCAGAATCCCAACCGAAGTTTACAGGAGGATAATTGGCCATAAAGTTCGCCCGCACAGAGACCCTTAAGCAATTTTGTTGTAAAAAATTGTGGTCCAAATTTAGACCTAGATGGTATCTAGGTATTTTGAAATTCAAAAATAAAAATTGTAATATCATCTAGACATTGACGGGACCATTGAAATTGAATGAAAATCACCCAAATTTCGGCAAGAATATTTATCCGCTAACAACGAGTGTTTCACCGCCCAATTCCGGTAACCCCTCCCCCCCCCTGCACCCTCTTCTTATATCAGAGGGATTTTACTTCACTCCTCTGCACCCAGACCAAAGTGAGCTTGAAATACCAGAATCCCAACCGAAGTTTACAGGAGGATAATCGGCCATAAAGTTCGCCCGCACAGAGATCCTTAAGCTATGGCCGTTTACTTTGAAAAAGGCTTCAATCCAATCATCGGCAACTAGAGTAGCCACCATGCCGTGAGCCGCGCCATGCGCTATGGCCTCCTTGGTTATCTAAAAGTTCGTGCGTTCTTTTCAGACTCCGGTCGAGCGCTTCCGCTCTCATCGATGTCAAGCAACATAAACCATTTCTCCCATTTCTCGTTTCCTTCCACAATCCGGGTGTAATATTCTCCGTGGACCTCACAATCGGCTCACGCTTTACTTATCGGGGCGAAGAAACCCAACAGGTTTACGTAAGACCTCATTTTGCTGATTTGTCTGATATAAACTTGATTCATCGTCCAAAGTGTCACTGATTGCTGGCCCAGGGACAAAATGGACGTATTTCTATCAAACAGAACTATGTGCAGGTGAGAAATATGGGGTGTGCTCTATAAAGCTGCATAAGAAACAATGTAAAAGAGGGCGTAATTCCTTTTGAAGAATTGGAAAAGCGGGATATTACATTCTATCAAACAGACCTATGTGCCAACTGAATGCGGGATTCATGAGCCGCGGGCATGGCAAAAGAGCCTTGTGGACAGGGCTCATGAGTTAAAGCGCCCCGACGACGATCCCCTCGATGCGCCCCCGCTTTTTCGTTGCCGCTGACGTCACTGGCGCTTTATTATTCTCATTCACTCTTACGGCCAGAGAACGAACGAGCACACCCCATATTTCTCACCTCCACATAGGTCTGTTTGGTAGAAATACGTCCAAATATCCGAAATGCTCAGTCAAAGACAATATATCTTTGAAACTCGCTTAATGATGACTGATGAATTTCGCTGGGAGAGTTTTTGCAAATCAGATTAGGATTGCCATACCATTAGTAACTCCACTCTTTGGTCATCAGTCATCAGTCATCATCAGGATCGCCTATCATCATCTGAGCTATGACTTCATGGAAGAAAGACACATAGGGGTTAAGTCCCGACTTGGACATTTCCAATTAATTATGGTAGTACCCCAATAAAATATGTCTCTAACCAAAATGTTGTGGCACTACCACCATCAATTTGAAATTTTCTTGTCATCCAAAAAATTGGGGTAGTACCACAATTTTAGGGGATAACCACTAACACTTTTTTCCCGTCATCCGAAAGTTACCATTATACTATCGGAAATATATCAATGCGGGTCCTTCGGACACATTGTCTCGGACTTATTTGATGCGGCCTGAAAATGCGATTGAATTTTTTTTCAAAAGACTTGTAAATCACACTGGCATTCTCTGACTCAAAAAGTAGAAGCAGAATTGCTACGAGAGAGATAAGTGGGCTGCGCACACTCTCTTCTTGCCTCCAAATTTTGATGTAGGCCAAACACCTTCCTTCACTCTCCAGTGTCCATCTATTCGCAGATCTGTGCCTTGAGTTGCATCTACAAATCTTTCTCAGTTATTTATGTTGAATTCCGTCCGACGATGCAGTAGTAGTTCAAAGTGGTCATTTTCTCATGTTTTGGATTTGAATTTTAAAAATTTGGATGAAATTCCAATGAAATCAAAAAATGAATCCTGTATCTCATATACGGATGTCGAAAATGGCTTGGACTCAAGTTCTTCAAACATACCACCTAACATATTCAGGTTCATAGCCCATTATTCAAACTTTAAAGCAGCAAAAGAAGACATCAAAATGCGATATACAGCATGGTTAAGATAGGGCTATGTCTAGTCTTATCGTGCCGACACACACTACTTCGAGTCAATAGGAAAAATCCGACAAAATCTGGAAACTCTGAAAGCTTATATTTTCGAAAATATGAAACAGAAAAGTTCAAGAGTGGTTCCATTATTTTTTTTTCGTGAAATTTCCGTCAGAAACACCCCTAGAAATTGAATTTGTGACGAATTAAACATCCAAATTTGAAATTTTAGCCACAAATTTCACTTCCGACTTCTTCTATTAGCCAGTGTCGTGGCGTGCTTTGAGATATATCGATGTATACCCCACTCAAACCTATGAAAAAAGATCGATTATCAGGGTGTGTGCAGCGAACACCTAAGGAATCGATTCTCTACCATTGCTTCAAACGGCGAGTTATCGACAATCGCTTATTCACGCCACGCCACTGCTATTAGCTCGTTCCACTGTGTGACATAGTTTCAATAATCGGACCACATACCCTCACAATAAAAACTGAGCTGACGAAAAACCAGTGAATTCTTGCCCGAAGCGGCAACACGGGGGCGACGGTGGTCGGTCGTAAATCTCAGCGTTGGCGTGGAGACAATGAAGCTTTCTGCTCCTTCTTTTCCGCGAGTATGTTGCACGTTGTACTTACAATTCGACGCCCATTACGGCGTGGCGCGGTGCGGCGTCAATTGACTTGTGCTCGCATCGCGCCCGCGGCGTGGCGCCACCCCCTTCGCCCCCCCT